CAGATTGGTCTCATTCTATACAGCAATAACCCAGCATTCATTCACTAGGCCTCTGCATAGAGAGGGCATGATATCGAAACCTGTCGTTCCAGCAATATAGGAAGTGAGGGCAGAAACATTGTGATTTCAAGGTCAGGCTGAACTTTGAGCCTGTTTTAAAAAGAAAACTTCAAAAGCAACGATTAACAAAAATGACCAAGGCTTACAGCCAAGACTGATAGATGTGGTTTGGTTCTTATGACCCATATGGTAGGAGAATAGGACTGCATCAAATAGGTTGTCATCTGATCCAAATTACACTCTACATGTGCATGCACAAAGACAAGAATAATGAATTAAATCTTAAAAAAATAAAATGAATTTTTGCATGGTTCCACAGTTTAGTACCTGCAATGGAGCACACAGCAAACATTGCTGTTTGGCAATTGCTTTCTTGGTGGCTGACTGGCATCTCCCTGACTCTACACTTCTCCCCATATATCTGCTTACATTTCCCATCTGGATCTATTCTGTCTGGCTATTGGCCTAATCAGCTTCTTCATTAACCAATGGTAATAAAACATATTCACAGCATACAGAGGGACATACCACATCCTATCCCCCTTTCTGTCTAATCAAAAAAGGTACAGTTATAATATTTAGTCTATTTGTATTTGAATAAATTAAAAAATACTCTATTATATCTTTGCAATTCTAAAGTTTTATATCTACTTTATCTTTTGTCATAACTAAGGAAAACTGTAACTATAGCTATCTGGTCTTCAACTCCATCAAAGATAATATTACCCAAGAAACTGCTAAATGAATTGTAAGTAACTTCCAAAACTCTAAAAATGTCAGTGATATCTGCCTGACTGGATGGTCACCCAAAGTTGTTCTGTAACATTGGGGTATCCATCTTCAGCCTACAGGCCTAGAGTATCTGGCAAATTTCTCAATGAAGCAGGAAATTTGAAGCTGTCCCACCTATAATTTGCAGTTTATCAGTCATTTTTCTCTACATACAGTCAAGCAGTTCAGACAAGAGCAGTCTCTTGTTCAAATGGCTAGCCTTGCTACATTGAAAGCAAACTCTATAAGGAGCTTTTTTGATGCACATTATTCTCTTGAAGTAATTGGTACTGCCAGTAGACATGTCTCACAGTTGAGAAAGTCTAAGGTCTTAAAACATTTTAAATGCCATATTCTATAGGTCTCTGAAGTGTTTCAATAGTACCTATATGACATATATCTTTGCATTACCTTGGAAACCTAAGTAACATGAGTACAAGTTTAATAGATATGGGTGACTATTAGCTTGTATTACTTTATTATCCTGAATTAGATTTTAAGGATCAAAACTTCATATTGCATAATTAAACAAGCTATATAGGTATCAGCTGTATAGGTAATATCATAAGCAAAAATAGAAAGATATGCAGTATGAACACAGTACTTTTAAATTTGTACTGATACAGAAAAATCCATGCCAATGCAAAATATCTGAGATTAATGATCTTTACATCCTATATTCATACACACACACACACACACACACACACACACACACACACACACACACACATATATATATATATAATCTATCTCAAATATCCATTATCCACCAAATAACCAAAGATCATGCATAAGCCCCAACTCTTAGGGATGTGGATGTCATTTTCTCCAAATTGCTTGTGCTGTTTGTGGATGAAGTACCTTTATGATCCCTGACAAAATTTTGAGATAATGAAAAAGTGCTGGGAGGACAGTGGTAACCTGTGCTAATAGATATCATCTGTCAAGTTTGAGAAGGTCTCCTTAATCAAAGTTGGTCCATCTTAACCTGGAACAAATCCATAGGCTCTTGTTTCCTGTGGAAAGGCAAAACCACTTCTCCAAAGCAATGCATCTTTTTATTTGCATTTTACAAATATACTTTTTGACTTATGTTTTAAAGATAAGGCATTTTAAAAATATTTAGATTGGTATATTTTATTACTATCTCTTCTAATCCCATGTCTCCCAGCAGCTGTCTCTTGCCTGCCAGCCATCAAAAATTCAAAATCATCACTATAATATACATAATCAAGACTCCCTGTGTATTTCCCATGTTTTTGTGGCTTTTTTCTTTTATATCATTTTTACTTTATCTTTTAAGGCTTTATTTTTTAACTATTTATTTTAATACTGGTCTACACACTTTTTTTTTTTTTTTTTTTTTTTTTAAAGCCAGATGGACAGTTTTTAAACATACTTTGACTCATTTAGAGGTTTTTTTTTTGGGGGGGGGGGAGTCTAAATCTGTCTTTATTGCAAATCTGTAATCACTGATTAATGTTTTAAATTGGTAAGTGGGCTTGGCTAGGATCAAAATGGCAGCTTTGCCTGTTGGCTCCACCAAGTTTGGCTTTTCAACATGGTGGAGGTCCATTCACTGCAAGCTCTGACAATCACATTTCCTCACTGCTAAAATTCTCTGCCATTCATTTGTGTGTCTGAGAATATGATTAGAAGAAGTACTTAACCTTGCAATCTAATACCACGATCCAAAAATAATGGAACAAGAGGATAAATAAAATTTTCTATTGCAAATACATTTTATTACTCAAATTATCATGTGTTTCTGTATTCTTGGAATATGTGTACAACTTGAAAAAGAGACAACATTTTTCCTATGGAATGGCTCTACTAATCTTACTGAAGCAGCAGTGAGATAAGTCTGTAGGGAAAATGTACGTGACAGTAAGACTTGGCCTCATTTATTAGTTTCATGGAGATTTTCATCAGTTTGAATGCTTTCTTGATCTTGAAGAATATGTCAATGTGCAAAGGCTCTACCACACTGATCACATTCATAACATTTTTGTCAAGTTGATTTTTTCTTGCCTGTGAACACTGATTGCATTCATAGGACTTGTCTCCAGTATGAGTTTTCTTTTATTTGAAGGTGACTGTTAAATGCAAAGTCTCTAGTACATTGATTATATCTACAAGGTTTCTCTCTACTATGAATTCTTTCATGCCTGTGAAGATGACTTTTACGTGAAAATGCTTTATCACACTGGTTACATTCATAGGGTTTCTCTCCAGTATGAATTCTTTCATGACTCCGAAGATGACTATTGTGTGCAAAGGCTTTCCCACAAAGGTTACATACATAGGGCTTCACTCCAGTATGAATTCTTTCATGACTGTGAAGATGACTCTTCCTTGCAAAGGCCTTACCACACAGATTGCATTCATAGGGTTTCTCTGCTGTATGACTTCTTTCATGAATGAGATTATTGTTCTGTGCAAAGGAATTAGCACTTTGACTATATTCATAAGGTTTCCTGCAAGTTTGTCTTCTGTCATGACTGAGAAGATTACTCTTCTGTGCAAAAGCTTTTCCACATTGAGTACATTCATAGGGTTTCTCTCCAGTATGAATTCTTTCATGACTTCGAAGATTACCCTTCTGTGTAAAGGCTTTATTACACTGATTACATTCATAGGGTTTCTCTCCAGTATGAATTCTTTCATGATTGTGAAGAGAACTCTTCTGTGCAAAAGCTTTACCACATTGATTACATTCATAGGGTTTCTCTCCAGTATGACTTCTTTCATGACTGAGAAGATTACACTTCTCTACAAAGGCTTTACCACATTGATTGCATTCGTAAGGTTTCTCTCCATTATGAATTCTTTCATGAATGAGAAGCTTATACTTGTGTGCAAAGGCTTTACCACATTGATTACATCCATAGCGTTTCTCTCCAGTATGACCCTTTTCATGCCTGTGAAGATTACTCTTTTCTGCAAAGGCTTTACCACATTCATTACATTCATAGGGTTTCTCTCCAGCAAGAATTCTTTTATATATTTGAAGATAAGTGGGACTTGCAACGGTTTTATCATATTGCTGATACTCATACTTTTTCATTACAGAATGAGGTGTATGTACTTGATGAAGACTATGATATTCAGAGACTTTATCACTTTGATTATACTCACAAGGTTTTTCTTCCCAATGAGTTCTTTGGTATAAAGAGGAATCGTACCTAATGGCTTTACAGTCATACAAATACTCTTCATTAATGGTTGTTTTGTGTGTTTGAAGATACATGTGATGGTTAAACTCTTTAGTACAAAGCTCACATTTTTCACTTCCTCTTGCCAAATGAGTATTTTCATGTATTTGAGAAGAACTGGAAGAACTCAGAGTGTTAGGACAGTGATTACATACATAACATTTTCTTGTACTGTGAATCACACTACTTATGCAAAGTGAACCAGTACAGACAGGTAAATTTCCATCTTCCTTGTTCTCGTAAGTTTTTTCTTCAAAGTTAGAGTGTAAACTTGTTTCACAATCATATTTTCTCACAGTAGTGATTACATCATATCCTCTAATTGTTCCAGGAAACACAGAGGTAGCAGCCTGCTTCTTTCCATATCCCTGATGCACACATGGCTTGTATCCATACTGACAGTTGATATGCCTATTAAAGGAAGAATATCAAATAAAATGTTTTCACATTACATTCACATTAGTCTAACATTTTGTGCCTCAGAGATGTGGTATATGAATTCAGGTTTCTACACCACTATACATTTCTTGTCTCTCATGAAGTGCTCCTCTCACTGAACTGTGGTTAAGTCACTGACTACATGCATATAAAGAACACTAGCTTTAATGTGGAAGATTTGCTTATTAAAGATCTTAGAATACTGCAATCCCCTTATCAATGTCTTATATAATGATTGAATGGCACAACAATAAATGGATGGACAGTTCTACAATATCCCACTTATGTAGCTATGATTAAAATTGTGACATATTATGGCATTGTTTCCTTGTCTTATTCTTAAAGGAATGCTTTCCAAACAGCTTCCTGCCATTGGACTACATGGTGTTGTGACAATATAATAATCATCACAAAGCTGTGCTAATTTACATTGTTGCTTTTCTTAAAAAGTTCAGGGTACACTACATTTCTTCCAAATATGTCCATATATGTCAGCTTGCACATGCAAATTACCTTCCATGTCTTCTAGAACTTTGACAATGTTCTTCAATACTGTGGTCTTCCCATTGGTAACCTAAAATACAGTACCATAAAATATATGAGCTATATCACTGGAAATTAGGCACAACTGAAATTATCATCTTTTATGAATCTTTGAACAATGCCCGATTTACTCACTAGATTCTTTCTCTTTTCCATTCAATCTCACACAAGAACAACAATCTCCAAAAAGGCTTGTCCCCTTAAGTTAAAACCTGACAGAAATCTCACATTCCTACCTATAGAAGTGAGATTCCAATAGGTTTCCAGCATCACATCTTTGTAGAGACTCTTCTGGGAAGGATCCAGCAAAGCCCACTCTTCATGAGTGAAGTTCACATGCACATCCTCATAGGTCACTGCATCCTAAAGTATCCCATATTGTACATAATAGAAATGGTGAGACTGACTGTGTTGCAAAAGTACACTTCATTGAGTACACATTTACCTAATTTATTGTTTAGTTATATTCTATGAGTATTAAAATACCAAAAGCAGTCACCAACACATTTTAAACAGAAACACAAAAGGATAATCATGCTCTTTATAAGTGTGCCCACAAAACAGAATAGGGCATTGCAGGAGAAGTGCACAGTGATAAATACAGAGAGACATGCAAAGAGAATAACACAATAACATCAACAAATTTTATCAAAATTATTAACTTAAAAAAAGGATAGATAACATGGGTATGGTGGGGTCCACCTTTAACCCCAAACCTCAGGAGGCAAATGTAGGTGATACTCTGTGATTTCCAAGTCAACCTGGTCTGTGTAGAGATTTCCAGGGCAGCAAAAGGCACAGACTTCAGAAGCATATACCTCATGGAGGGATACTCCCTTAGCCTCCCTTAGACATGGGGCAGGGCCTAGGCCCTACCCCAAATGATTTGACAAACTTTGATGATCCCTCATGGAAAGCCTCCCCCTCCATGAAGAGTGGATGGGGAATGGGATGGGGTGGTCTGTGGGGGGACTAAGAGGATGGGAGGGAGAGGGAACTTGGGATCTATGAATAAAGTAAGAAATATTAAATATAAAATTTAAGAATTTCAGCAGGCATAAGATGATTATCATTACAATTTGAAGAAGTTTAAGTAAATAATGAGTATACTAGGAGTTCATAGAATTAGGGTTGTCTAGTACCTTTTTAGTTTAATTAATATGTTTTAATGTTTTGTTACATCTTTCAATGATGGCCTGTCCTTGAGGAATATAAGGGATATAGGGACATAATGTTTCAATGTTGTAAAGATTCCTGAAGTTTTGATGACATATAATCTAGAACGTTATCCACCTAATTTACTGAAAACTGCACGATATTAAAAGGTTTTATAAAAATGTAATATAACTGATGAAGCTTTTTTTTATTACTTAATAAAGTGGCCCACTGAAATGTTAAAAATACATCAATATTATGATGTAGCATTACAACCTATCAAAAACATCCCGGTTTTTTTGTTGTTGTTTTTTTTTTTTTTTTTTTTTCTCCAAGATAGGGTTACTCTGTGTAGCTCTGGCTGTACTAGAACTCATTTTGTAGACCAGGCTGGTCTTGAGCGCAGAAATTCACTGCTTAGTGGGACACCACCTCCTAGCTATTAGGATGTGCATTACATCCATTTGCCATATCTCATTTGATACATTACCTCTGGGGTAATGAAAGCCTATGAAAAGTTTGACAAGTTTCACAATGTGGTATTACTAATTTTGCCATTTTTTCAGTTAAAGGAAATTTTCTTTTTAAGGCACTGCATTAAGCATGTGATTCTGTATGTAACTTAATATTTTACTTTAGGTAAAATGGTACAATAATGTAATTAATATGTATTGATTAACAAATCTATGAATTGATTAACTTTGGCAGTAGTAGGACTGGAAGATTAGAGAGTGCTATGATAAGAGTAATAAAATTCCATTTGCTGCTAAGTATACGGCAATAACTTCATAGATGTAGGCAGAGTGTAGGATGTGGAGACAGATTAGAGTCTCAACCCAAGGCTGGGAGTGGCTGAAGCCTTGAAGGGGATATGGGAAGAAAGTCTGTGGAGGGCAGACACAGTAAGTGGGAGGTCATGGTGGACAGGGATACAGTATAGGAAAAGCAGCAGTAGACAGGATAGGAGCAGGGAAGAACCAGGGCAAGAGAGGTGAAATAAAGACTACTGGCTGTGTATTGTTACTTGATATTTGGGGTAAAGTTTCCTTGAGTGCCAGACCTACCTAGAAATGCAAGAGCTCCACACACACACTAAGGTGCATCCACAACATCACTGTCACACCAGCTTCCTATGAACCTACACACCCATGATTTCTTCATACATACACATAAAACACACATGCAATGATGCCAGCCATGCTAATACAAGCAGCATGCATGCCCCAAACAAAGGAATCTACACACAGGCTACTCCCCACAAAATAAAACAAGATACACTCACATATTTCTCATAATGTATAACTAGAATCAGGGAGAAGGCTCAGCTTGAGGCCAACATCTAAATTTGCTTCCCATATGAGAAGAACCAATTCTCAAGTTGTCCTCTCACTGACACTTATGTATTGTGGCATGTGTGTTCCACAGATGAAAAGTTTGGTCAAAAAAAAAAAAAAAATTAGTCTATTACTTTTCCAGTCAGCTTCACAAGATTTCACAAGACACACATAGATACAAGAAAATAACATGAAAAAAATATTAATCACAATTTGGATCATGTTAGTCTTGACTTCTGCTGTTGCCTCAAAATACTAGGTGTGAGGTCACATGCTCAACTAATTAAATGTTCTGATTAAATGAAAGTATAATAGATATATGATAAATTCCTGAAGAACGGAAAAAATAAAAGAAAAATGAGTAATTTAAAAATCTTTTAACTGTTGCAAATGAAAAAATCTAATCATGTAACAGGCATCATGACTTGGACTCCTATTGGCCTAAGAAACCTTTGTGCAGCAACAGTGGAGTCTGGGGCAGGTCCAGGCCCATGAGATGAAGACAGAGGTGGAAGCTATTACCCAGCACCTGACTTTTGAGACAGGAGAGCAGAGGACATGGCACGGTGTCTGGCACAGACCTGAAGCAGCCAGAAGACTCAGACTCTGAGTATGAGCTGGAGTGGGGGGGGGGCAGTTAAATGAAAGCATGGACCATGGGGGAGTTGGACCATATAAATTTGGCATGGGACACTGTGAGAAATTTATAATCTCAGAATCTAGTGTGAACACTGGGCCAGAAAAAAAAAAAAATCAGAACGAAATGTTTTTGAGCTACATCAGGTACTTGGTAAATGGGGCTATGGAAAGGGTTTTCAAATATGAAAAGTAACAGGAGCAAATACTGGGAAGATGTTTTCCAAGAAGGGGCTTAAAAAGACAATGACAATAAGAAATGCTAAAGATATACAGCTCATACAAAAAGGAAAGCGTAATATTCTGGAGGAAGTAAAACATCCCTTCATTGTAGATTTAATTTATGCCTTTCAGACCAGTGGAAAACTCTACCTCATCCTTGAGTATCTCAGTGGAGGAGAACTATTTATGCAGTTAGAAAGAGAGGAAATATTCATGGAATATACAGCTTGCTTTTACTTGGCTGAAATCTCCATGGCTTTGGGGCATTTACATCAAAAGGGACGTATTATAGAGACCTGAAGCTGGAGAACATCATGCTTAAGAACCAAGGGCATGAGAAACTAACAGACTTTGGAATATACAAAGAATCAATTCATGATGGAACAGTCACACACACATTTTGTGGAACAATAGAATACATGGACCCTGAAATCTTGGTGAGAAATGGCCACAATCCTATTGTGGGTTGGTGGGGTTTGGGAGCTCTAATGTATGACATGCTGACTGCAGCATCTCCATTCACTGGAGAGAATAGAAAGAATACAATTGACAAAATCCTCAAATGTAAACTATATTTGCTTCCCTATCTCACACAAGAAACTTGAGATCTGCTTAAAAAGTTGTTGAAAAAAAAAAAATGCTGCTTCTCATCTCAGAGCTGGTCCTGGGAATACTGGAGAAGTCCCAGCACATCCATTTTTCAGACACATTAACTGGGAGGAACTTCTAGCTCTGAAGGTAGAGCCTCCCTTTAAGCCTCTAGACAATCTGAAGGGAATGTGAGTGAGTTTGGTTTAAAGTTTACATGTCAGACAGCTGTTGACAGCCCAATGACTCAACTATCAGTGAAAGTGCCAACCAGGTGTGTGTGTGTGTGTATACATACATACATATGTGTGTGTGTGTGTGTGTGTGTGTGTGTATATATATATATATATATATATATATATATATATATATATATATATCTGTACTTGAAAGTGTGAAAGAAAAGTTTTCCTTTTAACCAAAAAAATCCAAATACCTTTTATTGGTAGCCCATGAACGCCTGTCAGCCCTATCAGAATCTCTCCTGGGATATTTCAGAGGACCAGCTGTTTCAGCCAGCATGTCAAATCCTCAGACGCCTGTGGAGTACCCACTGCATACAGTGGAATAGAGCAGAGGGGTATGACAATAAGCTGGGAAGAAGCATCAGCACCACTTCCAATCCCACAGCTGAACTATGCCCCCCCCACACAAGCTTTTTCCATGATCTCCACAAGGCCAGAGTATCTGCATATGAGTCCCTGACAAACAACACTTTCATTGATGCAAAACAAAACAAAACAAAACAAAAAAACAAAAATAAGGGCAAAGGATGTGCCAGCATCCTGAACATTAAGATTAGTATCAAAATGGTGGTCTTAAAGAGTCAGTGCTGTTACCTAGAATGCTTTGGATGGAAGAAAAAAATAAACATGTATTTTAAAAAAATCAATCAATGGTGCAAAACAAAACAAAAACAAACAAACAAGCCTCGAGCCTATTGCGGAAGCCACACACTCATTGGTTGACTGGTTCCTATCTAGTGCCATTTCATTATTAGCAAGAGTTTTCATGTTGATGGCTCCAAACTGACAGTATTAAGGGTAGGATGCTGCTTCTGAATCAACACTGCAGCCTGATTATGTGAGGGTATTCTTTCATAGGCAAAGCATGAGATTGCTGTATTACTTCCAACAAAGAACAAATTAGCCTGCAAGATTTGTCAAACTTTTCCCCAAAACACAGAATCAAAGACAAAAGAAACTTATCATTTATGTTTTACATGCAAACAACCTGAATCTTTTTCTTACATAAATATATATTTTTCAAATAGATTTTTGATCCAGCGCATTATGCAATACATCCCAAACTTTAAAATGCAAAATTATTTTTTGATGTGAAGAAAGCCAACATCTGGTTCTTCTCTTGATGAAATAAAGCACAAATGAATCATTGTTTAAAAAAAAATACCTAAATGATATTTACTAT